ACGTACTTTTCTAACGACCGAGTAGTATGTTTTAATTCAAATGCAGTACCTACTTAGTAGTAGGCGGTTTCGGATGCAGCTATGGAAAATGTGCACAGCTGGTGGTCCTCCAGAAATGTGGTTGAGAAACACTGGGCTAAAGTGTACTTCTTTTTTTTCTTACAAAAAGCGCTTTAACATTCTGCCTATGTGGGCGCCTTACTTGATTTTGTGAAAATAGATCTTTACAAAATTACTGAAACATTAGCTGTGAATGTTAGATATAAATAAATTCTGACCATAAGGCATCTTGCCTGATGTATTGAACAGACCTCTCTCTCCCTATCCATCTTCATCCATATGTGGTGTCTGCCTTGATTAGAATCCATAGAACTGTTGTCAATGAAGACAGATGATATGTCCTCTCTGTTGCTGAACAGCACAACACGATACCGTCGCTTGTGCCAGTACAGCAGTTTGCCCAGACACAGGGAATAATGACCAACCTTGTTTAGTCCATTTTCGTAACAGCAGACATTGGTTTGCATGAATGTTATTTGACTGAGATAACAGAAACATCAATAGCCATGGAGGTCCTGTGGAGCCCATACTCTATACTGCGCTCCTAACCAAAACAGATGGAGAATGTGTGGATAGTATTTTTAGAACCAGAGGAGACATGCTTCCATATTTTATAAATATGAAACTGCTATGACCTTCTCTAGACACCCTGGACGTATAACGTATGGAGTCACAAATGGGTTTCATTACTCTTTTTCTTTTCTTTTTTTACACCAGCATTCATTAAAAATGTAGCATCACACTTCAGGCCAGACTGTCTGCAAGTATATTTCTGTTCTTTCTTTTTTCAAATACTAAAAAAAAAAAAAACAATTATTCTGTTTTAGTATAGATAATTAGCATATACAGTCACCTGGTTGGACCACTTTTGTCTTTAGAACTGCCTTAATTACTAGTGGCATAGATTTAAGAAGATACAAGAAATATTCCTCAGAGATTTTGGTCCATATTGACATGATAGCATCACGTAGTTGCTGCAGATTTGTCGGCTGCACATCCATGATGCGAATCTCCCGTTCCACCACATCTCAAAGGTGCTCTATTGGATTGAGTTCTGGTGTGTGGAGGCCATTTAAGGTCAGTAATCTCGTTGTTATGTTCAAGAAACCAGTCTGCAATTATTCACACTTTATGACATGGCACATTATCCTGCTGGAAGTAGCCATTAGAAGATGGGTACACTGTGGTCATAAAGGCATGGACATGGTCAGCAACAATACACAGGTGGGCTGTGTCATTGACACGATGCTCCTCTGACCTCTGGCATCAACAAAGCATGTGTGCCCACAGAACTGCTAGTCACTGGATTTTTTTGTTTTTTCTTTTTCAGACTCTATAAACCCTATATGGTTGCGTGTGAAAATCCCAGTAGATCAGTATTTTCTGAAATACTCAGACCAGCCTGTCTGGCACCAACAACCATGCCACATTTAAAATCACTTAAATCTAGTTTCTTCCCTATTCTGATGCTCGGGTTGAACTGCAGCAAATTATCTTGACCATGTCTACATGCCTAAATGTATTGAGTTGCTGCCATGTGATCTGAAATTTGATTTAACAAGCAGTTGGACAGGTGTAGCTAATAAAGTGGCCAGTGAGTGTATGGACTTGTGTTCTTGTGCAGACCAGTCTTGCCAGGTGTGCTCGGAAGAAAAAAATTGGGAGACCGCAAGAAAAGAGAACGCGTCCTGTGAGAAATGAGATGCTGTGTTATTCCCTGGTTCTTCCTGATGGTCACATGACCTTTACCCATTTTTAATGGAAAATTATTTAAACATTACAGCATTCTTACAATGATTTATTGTTTTTCTCCTTTTCAAAATATTTACTGTGCATAAAATTCCTTTAAATATATGTTGCACAATACAAATAAAACTGATTTTAATAAGAATTTCAGCAAATAAACACCCTTATTGTGTTTATCTCTTTATTAAGATTTTCATGGTAATATTTACATTTCATGCAGGGAAACTCCTGAGATAAATAAGTTTTATGTCTGAACTTTAATAATAAACCTATATAAAATGTTGCGCTTCCTCTCCAGTCGCAAAGACTACTGGGACTTCTAGAGTAAGTTCAGTGCTCAAGTCTGCATTGGTGCGGTCTTTGATATCAACAACACATCCAGGAAGTTTCACGCGTCCTCTGTTCTTGCGGTCTTGAGTTTTGGAACTGAACTTTGGCAGCTAATGATGACGTTACACGAGAACACAAGGACGCAAGATCACTGAAGAACGCATATTGAGAAACAGCCTATATCTGCTGTGATTACAAACTCACAAGTGTGTTCTATCAATATCAGATATTTTGTATAAATGTGGAACAATTAAAAAATTATTTTTCTTAGAACAATCCTTTTTCTTTGGCTTAGTTAACAGGGGCTCTTTATTTATCAGGGGTCACCATGGTCGAATGAGGCAACTCAGTACTGGGAAAAACCTATACACTCTCGCATTTACACACACTTATACACCCCTATGGTGCTTGAGTTTAGACTGTGGGGAAAACCAAAGGATCAGGAGGAAACCAATGCGTACACGTGCAAATTCCACACAAAAGTGCACTAGCAACCTCAAACTAGCGACCTTCTTCATGTGAGGGGACAGTGCTAACCACTGAGTCACCTCACTTTGAACATAGATTGTGCATTGTTACTTTTGGCTCCATCAGTAGGGACAAAGGAAACACAGGGGTGGGTCGAAAGTAACACAATAATATATCATAGATTTATTGGCTTATTCTTGTTTATATTAAACATACCGGACAATGATCTTCTTAAAATGTTAATTGCAAACATATTTTGTCCTTTAACTTAGGAAAATTCTGACAGTCATTTTCGTCAAATGTAACCCAACAATGTAAAATTGAATTATTTTGAATGTTTTTTTATTGTTGTAAAACTACTTTATTGTTGTAAATGATCTAAATGTAAACATTGCAAAATCATATGTGGATGTAAAACAAATGGCTATTAGAATTGGGTTATAAATTACAGTTACATTCGTCCCTACAGAAACTCTTGCCATTTAAACCCGATTTACTTTTAAATGGAACAACTCAGGCAATTCAAACTTAAGAATGTGTTATAGCTCTAATATGTCACGATCAACAGCAATCTGGGCTTACATATCACTGCTAAACATGACCCATCACCCAGACTACAATTCTGTCACTTTATGAACTACAAATTTCATCATGCACCTCACACACAATTATGCCGGAATCACAGATAATTACATTCACAGATGATAGCTGATCTAAGACTGATTACTACGGTGGCCGGGAAGTGCAAAACAACATTACAAAGTTTGAAACACTTTAACAAAGCTCGAGACAAATTTACATTTTGAAAAACATGTTTACCTATCATCAGACACAATTACATAGGAAAAACAATTTTACCAAGGACGAAACAAATTTACATTTTAGAAAACAAATTAACATGACGCAAAACACTTTTACAAATCCCGAAACAAATTTACAATTACAGATTCCCAACGGAAAGGGAATGTACCACACACCGGAAGTGACGTAGAATGTACCACACACCGGTATTGACCCGGAATGTAACACACACTGTGTGACTTTGTACAGGTTTCCACAAGTCTACAACTATAAAAATCATAGTTTGACTAACTGCGATAAAATAAATTACAGCTATTCTGAGAAAATATCAGCGTGAGAGTGCATAAAAACATGGAAATGCAAGACCAATCTCAACTTGTACTCCGGAGTAGCTCAGTTATCTCTCGCTATACACTTTACCAACTCGCAAGGGTGTTTAATCGTTTCAATCAAAATTCAAAGCAGTCACATGGGTATAGGCAAAATTTAAGCTTCAGACGTTACTGATCACATGACATATAGCAAAATGAATAAAGCTCCGGTACATTGCTTCACTGCAAGATGTGTCATTTTTTGGTACATGCTCAGTGCACTACATCAAATTACTACCTTATTGCCTATGACCTCGACTACACTTATGCATTTTCCTGTATGTACCTGTTTGCTCCTGTGATTGACCATTGCCTGTCTAAAGTTTCTAAATAAACTCTAAATACTACTGAGTATTTAGTTTCTAAATATTCCTCAGTAGGTACTGCATTTGAATTTAAATATGTTCTATACAGTATGAATGTCAGTAGTATGAATGGTACTCAGACTTAATACATCCGCCATTTTGTCATCATCACGTGACCTACCCATGTCAGTTGCATTGCTTCACTCGTATTCATGAATTCATTCATGGTGCATCATTGGCTAGCGTAGGGTCTATCGAATACGCGGAAGTAGTAGGTCATCCTGGTACTTCTCACATACTGTTTTTCAAATGCTATAAATTCGGACATACTACTCAGCGCACGTACTGTTTTTAGCATATTTTATATTTGGCAGCTCAATGGTAGACATTTTGTCAAGGGTTGCATAAAGGCTGTGGTTTTATGGCTTGGGGAGCGAATATTGTCAGTGCTCTGAGAAAATCACATTGTTACTTTCGACCAGTGTTACTTTCACTGCTGCTCTCCACGATAATTAACAACTTGAGGTATTACAGAAAAGTAAGAAGTGATTGTTCTGAATAGGAGTTAGGGTGCAATCTAAAAGTCTAGTCATTGCTTGTTTGAAGTAATTTGCAATCCCATTTCATTCAATAATTTGTCTGTCTCTAACCAGAGTAAAAAAAAGTCTTAGAATAGTCCATGTCCATGTCTGGGGGGGCTTCTCTTGAGCCAAGCCAACATTTAGTTATTGCTTTCTTGCATGCAACAACAACAAAAGAAACTCAAGAGATTAATTGTCTCGTTTATTTATATCTTCTGCTGTGACCCCTAAGAACATGGTGGAAAAATTTTTACTTCTATATTAAAGCCTCAATATTAATATTGCCACCTTTCTCCAGAAAGGCTGATTATATGGACATTTTTGTTCTTTCTTGACAGCTGCTGAACGCCATGGAGTCAGTAGATATGACAAACCACAACTCTGAATGCCATGAAAAGGTAAGTCAGACTCCATCATGTCACTGCGGTTTACCGGTGAGATTAGTCTGCAACACCAGCACACTTCAAAAGAGAAATGCAAACTGCTAATATTGCGTCATCCCTTCATTTCTCTTAACACCATGAGCTGTCTGACTGGAGTTAATTTTAGCCCACTGATCTGTATGTTCATTGAGTTTGCCCTCGGTCTGCTTTTCTACTTGAGTCTCCAACTAAATATCTGTGATAGCTGCAGTGGCAGGAAGTCACTTTTTTCTTATCAATTTGCTATTAGTAATTGAAAGGAAAATATAGTGTTTAATACTTGATGAACAAAAAATAATTAAAGAGATTGCTTGTGTTAAGAATGCAGTCTTAGCATTAATAACTAATTATATACATAACAAAGAATCTATCAAAATCAGATTTTATCAATTAAGATTCAAAACAAAGAAACTTTAAGGTCAAAACCTTTTATATAACCACTAAAGGTCATTTACATGACAACATTTTCAGCCAAAAACGGAAAACTTTTTATAAATTTTGCCTGTTTGTTTACATCACAACTGCGTTTTTATGTCTGAGAATGCATAAACATGAACATGCTAATTAACAAAGCAACAGTGCCAAATACTGGTCTGGCATACGTCATACATTGGTCATTTTCAGTGTTGGGCAAGCTGCTTGAAAAAATTTAGTCAGCTAAGCTATTAGCTACTCAACATAAAATGTAGCTTAACTACACTAAAAGCTATACCTTCTGGGAAATGCAGCAAGCTAAGCTAAAAGCTACTGGGACGCTAGCTTGTGTTGACGCTAGCTTCGCTACAGAAAAGCTATTTGATTTAGAAAGCTTTTGATTTTCAATAGCTACCGCCATGCTACTGAGAAATGTAACTAAGCTAGTAGCGTCAATACTTGTTGCGACGCTGCTGCCCAACACTGGTCATTTTCATGGATGTGTAAATGCAGATAATTTTGAAAAAAAATTGTGTAAAAGTCAAACTTTTGGAAAAACAAGCGAAAAACTTTAAATTTTTTGGCTAGATTGTTGTCATTGTAAATGTAGCCTATAGGGTGTTGCACACCGAATGTGCCGCTCAGCGATGCGCTCATGACAGTTGGAAATAACACACACCGAAAGCGAACATTTAGATTGTTATTTTAAATAAAACTATGCAGATGGCATGGCGAACATATGAACATTGTTCTAAGTTTAGCTGGGCACCGCAGACAGCTGCCGACTTGCGACGCTATTGTGCGAGCTCTCATAGAAACCTATGTTTAGAATTCTAAAATGCATGGCATGGTGCCAATCAACGCATACAGTGTGCGACTCCCTTAAGAGTTAGAATAACTTATTCACAAAGCTTCTGAGACATTTCTTTTTAAGCAATAGGAGCCCGATCTCACAAGGAAACATAACTATTTTACTTGTTTTCAGAAAAGTAGCTAATTTGTATGAACTGAGAGTTTAACTTGCGATCCAAAGGTCACTGTTTCGAGTCCCGGTACCAGCAGGGATTGTTGGTGGGAATATCCACCTCAATACCACGGCTGGGGTGATTCCATTGAGCAAGGCACCAAACCCCCAACTGCTCCCTGGGTCTGTTCACGGGTGTAAGTCACTTTGGATAAAAGCATCTGCTAAATGCATAAAAGTAAATGTAAATATGAAAACTTAAAGGGAGACATGTCCCCAAACCCCACCTCTAACCCGGACCAATTTGAATTAGCCACTAAATCAAAAAGTTATGAATTGCATTGAGATTGTGTTTGGAATCGAGTAAAAAATTATATTGCAAAATAGTATAATCATTGCTTTTATTATTTTTTTTTGTGAAAAAAATAAGGATTTTCTTTTAATGTGACAAGTTAATGTATTGTTTTAAAAAATAATTAAGCAAATATACTTTAACATGTTTTGAAATTTGTGTCAGTTTTTTTGTATACATATTTGAAAACATATTTCTCACTGTATACCTCTGTGATTAGGAGGTGACTTATTCAAGGCTTATTGTGATGTTTTTTTCTTGCTGGCTGCAGCCATTTTATAATAGTTTATGATTTTGTTTTACCGGCTTTGCATATACTTTTAGAGCAAAACTCCTAAATTTAAAATCTAAATCTAAATTTTTAAAGTTAGGAGCTGCTTTTAGCCTTAATTTGTTTTGTGAATACAGACACAGGTCAGTACAGTAGATTCTGGCCAGCATTCTCCCATTTACTGAAAAAAAACATGGAAGTACTCAATAATCCCTGTAGAGTTTTGAAATGCACTTTCAGTCCAAAAATAAAGCAATTGTAATATCTCAGCACTTTATCGCATCCTCCAACCCACCAGGGGGCGCACATGTTGCCCTATACTCCTCAACATTAGATGGCAGTAATGACTCTTGTTCCTCTAAACTCTCCTGTAATCAGCGTAACCACCACCACCTGTTCTTTGCTCTATATAAGACTGCTTTGTATGCTGCTCTATGTTCAGTCCTGAACTAAACCTCTTGCTGCCTCGTCCAGTTTCCAGTTAAGTTGTTCTCAAGACTTTTTGCTTGTTCTCAAGACTTGTTTGCTATTTTGCTGTTTGATTGTTTTGAGACCCTCGTGTCTATTTTATTTTGTATGTATTTTCAGGAAGCTCGGCTTTCCTATTTTTGTTGTAATTTTCAACCCTGCTGTAGAGAGATATTATCTCTCCTTTTTGTCAAATTTACCTCAGTAAAGACTATATTATTTTTTTTTGAAATTCATCAGTTGTGGACTCACTTTGTTCCTCCTCTGCTCTTGGGCCACCAGTTGCTGACTTAGCTCATCTAGTAAGAGCTACTGCTAACCACACCGCAGACCCGGGTTCAATCCCCACTCAGATCATCACAGCAGGACTGAACCATGGAAAACCGCCCAGCAGAGGAGGCTGCACCAGTCTCAAATGTGGATCGCATTCTTGCGGCACTTTCAGAACAAGCCACCGCTATTCAGCAGCATGACCAGACTTTATGCGAAATTCTTAGCCTCTTGAATCCTCACTCTCAGACTACAATGGCCCAGGTAATTACGCCACAGTCTGTTCCCTTGTCAACACCTGAGCCCAAGTTGCCCCCTCCCCAGCGCTTTGATGGCAGTTTCGAGAACTGCAGGGGATTCATTACTCAATGTACTTTGATCTTTCAACTACAACCTAGTTGTTTTCCTACTGACTGCAGTAAGGTGGCATATATAATTACGCTCCTTACGGGCAAGGCTCTGGATTGGGCCTCAGCCTTGTGGGATAAGAAGTCCCCTGTAACCACTAATCTCCAGCTCTTCCTAGCAGAGATGAAGAGAGTGTTCCTCCATTCAGCAGACAGTGGAGAGGCAGGACGCCGTCTCCTAAGACTATCTCAGGGGTCCCGCAGTGCCGCTGAGTTTGCCATTGAGTTCCGTACTCTGGCCACCGAGAGTGGGTGGGGCCAATCTGCACTTAGAGCGATCTTTCACAATGCATTGTCTCCCAAGCTCAAGGATGAACTGGCATTCAGAGACTCCCCATCAGACCTTGAGTCCCTCATTAGTTTAGCCATTCGGGTGGATAACCGCCTTAAGGAGCGGCAGACAGAGAGAGAGCAGGACACAATTATGACCCGTCATGACAATGTTGTTTATCCCACACTGGATCCTGAGGAACCTATGCAATTAGGGGCTACAAAGATCTCGCTCTCTGAAAGAACCCGACGAATGAAGGATAAGTGCTGCATTTATTGTGGGAAGCCGGGTCATTTCCGGGCAACATGTCCAGAGTTGTCGGGAAAAGTCAGATCTCGTTCCGGTGTAGGGGCCCCGGGGCGAGAGTAGGTGTGATTCCCTGTCCCATTTTCTCTGGTTTGACCATCCAGGCAGTCATCTCTCTCCAACAACCCCACGAGGTGGAGATCTTCATTGACTCAGGTGCAGCAGGAAACTTTATGGACCTCAAGTGTGCTCAAGATCTTTCCTGTGATCTCCTAACCCTGCAAAACCCCCTTAAAGTCTCAGCAGTAGACGGCAATCCGCTAGGCTTAGGCCACATCCACCAATGCACCACAGCTCTCCATGTGAGAATTGGAGATCATGAAGAAAACCTTCAGTTTCACATCATTCATTCCCCCAAGATCCCCATAATCCTGGGACACCCCTGGTTAGTAACCCATAACCCACTTATTGATTGGTCTAAAGGAGTTATAGTAAGTTGGAGATGTAAGGGGTCCAGTTTGAACACCATGTTTGGTCAGTCAACCAAGGATTCAACCCTTTGCCATTGCCCTCTTCCCCTTGAGACTCAGCCAGAACCCCCCAGGCACACCAAGGCCATCCCCCTGGACATCATGACTATTCCCAAGCCACAGATTGTTCCCAAGTCGCTCAATACTCCCCCCGAGATATCCCGAGTTCCCCCCGAATACTCTGACTTAGCTGAGGTTTTCAGTAAGACTCGAGCAGCCTCACTGCCCCCTCACAGGCCATATGATTGCCCCATTGATCTATTACCTGGAACCTGCCCACCCCGCGGAAAGTTGTATTCGCTCTCTGGGCCTGAAAGAGCTGCTATGGAGAAGTATGTACATGAGTCCCTAGATAGTGGTTTTATCCGCCCCTCCACGTCACCAGCCGGGGCAGGATTCTTTTTTGTTGGTAAGAAAGATGGTTCCCTTAGACCCTGCATTGACTACAGAGGTCTCAACAGCATTACAGTCAAGAATCGCTACCCTCTTCCCCTAATGACAACAGCCTTCGAGATCCTACAAGGAGCTACCATCTTTACCAAGCTGGATCTCCGTAGTGCATACCATCTAGTCAGGATCAGGCAAGGGGATGAGTGGAAGACCGGGTTTAACACTCCCACTGGCCACTATGAGTACCAAGTTATGCCCTTTGGATTAGCCAACGCGCCAGCTGTCTTCCAGTCATTTATTAATGATGTACTACGAGAGATGCTTAACATCTTTGTTTTCGTCTATTTGGACGACATTCTCATCTTCTCTCATAACCCCGAGGAACATGTGATA